AATCAAAGGTTAGCACACAGTGGTCGCTATGTCCCAGTGGAGCGTTAATTGCTACCTGATCAACGAAGTGTCTTTCGTTGGTGATGTCCAAATCCAGCAGGGATGGTAGTTGGCCTGCGCAGTATCTGGTGGGTGCAACGACATGTTGAGTCCAAGCGCTCTGTTGAACGACTTCAATCAGCGCCGCTGCAAAAATTCCGCCTGATTCGACGCGTTGGAGTTCCATCCAGGAGGCCTTTGGGACGTAACCTACCAGCAGGAGATGAGTGAAGTGGTAGTTGGGGGAGAGTTGCTGAAGGGTTTGTATGAGGAATTGATCATTTTTAGGTGGACTCTAGGAGCTCCAACAACTTCCCTACGCAAGTCAAATGTTCAAGCTGTTTATGAAATCACCCTGCCAGTAACGGCCGTGCTTTTTGGACAAAAGCAGCAATAAACCTGGTCCTAGTAAGTTGTTTTCGACCATTCATCGGGGGTAAATTGGCCTAGTCGGTGTAAACATGAAGATTCAACTAAATGTGGGAGAACGACTGGCCTCTGGGTTCTGAAAGCAGGTCTGAGAAAAACGACCACATGGATTACTAGAAGGTGCACGTTCAAATGCCAAACAATGTGTCAACCATTTTAGGACATTCGGCCGTTTGCACCAGAATATTTTAACACAGTGTTTCGCACGCTGCAGTGACCAGTCTAATGGCGGCTTAGTTTCGATATGCCTTTGCCGGTGTGCCGATTTGCCGATGTGGCGTGCATGGCCATCCGGTAAGCCAGAAAGGAACTTGGCTCCTCCTCTCCGGCATTTCTTGCCGTTTGCAGCAATGAACGCTGCGCGAGCTGCATTTGCTGCTGGCTGTGCGTAAATGCTATCTGGTTGGCATGCTTCAGGCTACCAGATTGTTGTACACGCCCAGTTATTGCCCTTCTGCGTACTCAATACGTTTACTCGTCACGTCGTTAAGCGTACCAACACGCAATGTGCACAAGGGACATTTCGAGTGATGCACAGCCAAATGACGCCTAAATATGGGGCGACTCCAGCGGTCTCTCTGAAAAATGTGAAAATTCTGGTGTAACCAACGTGGTTGTGGCTGCTTATTTGATTGCTTTATCAAAGAGGGTAATGTGGTGAAGAGTTGTTTGTGGCTGGAAATTGTTTGCAAAAGAGTGACAGCGTGGTGATGCTGTGCGCGTGGTGCCCACATGCTTGAAAGAAGGTCAGCGTTAGTGCACAGCCCGCATATGCGATGTCATATTATCTTGAATAAATACTGCCACTGCATCGTACTCCTGAACAGGCTCGGTGGATTTCGCAAGGGCGTCATGACCAGTCGGCCGATTCGCATGCTATCCGTCACAAAAGAAGTGTACGGTTTGTACAAACACACCCAAGATGGTTCGCGCGGGGTAGCACCAACATTTAAAACCTACGGGAAACTTCGAAACACAGCTGTTCCTTTCGCACGGGAAGAACAAAAACTGCTAGGATGACCATCAGATGGCAACACCCACCCACCCGCAGAGTTTTGCTGGAAGCCTGATCAAGAAAAACTTGAAAATATGCCTGTCTAACAATGGAGTTCGGCACTTGAGATGTTTGTCGTGTATAACTTGGGTAGCGGCACCTTCCAAAATTTATCTGCAACCTAGTTCTGCGCCACAAATGACGGACTACCGAAATGCATTTATGAACTGCACTCCTTTCGTTCGTGACGCGTCAGACGTCCGTTGACCTGAGGTCTGTCACAAACATACTCGCTTATTATGCCTTTATACCCGGTCGTTTAGAAGTCGTCATCAAGATGCCATTACACCGGAAGAGATGGAACATCCCTGGGAACCCGGGAAGGCGTATCGAGTCCGCCAAAAGTTCACCGCAACTACCAAATGTGACGGATTTCTTGGCCTTGTCTTTGCCTGGCGTGACACGCCGCAGATTTAAAATGCTTCAACATACACAACATAACGAAGTTTTGATCATTTTGAGTTTATAGGGCCAAATTTTCGTCATTAATTTTCATTTACTGTCAAAGCACTCTAAAATGAGGTGAAAGAGAAAAACGTGCAGAAACTTCTTCTCCACTGTCTTTGCTGATGGATCACGCAGAGCTAAAGCAATTATCAAACTTATTAATTCCTCGCTAAAAGTGAATGTTGAATACGTTTGAGCTAATTTTTAACTATACTTTGGATTTACGGAGGGATTTCAAATATCATAACCAGTGCTACAAATGGCAAGTCTTTAGCTCAAATTTAACAGTATTCATGTCATAATTTTTAGAACAATTTCGGCTGTGTTTCAAAGGATCTGCGGTGAGACAGCATTCTGGGCTGACAACTGGGAGCGCAATGAGGCCCATGTCTTTTGTCGCCGATCCTTGGACTGAAAAAGGTTCTTTTCTCAAACATTTGCGAGTAGAATATTAATGCTTACGCTGACAGGTTGTATTCTGTTGCATGTATGCGCAAACTAAAACACACACTTATTTACTCACATGTCGTTGCTGTTTTAATTAGTCTCCCTTCTCAATTATTGGCACGTTCAATCTCACACTTGCGGTTCTATGGCTTGAGAGGTCACTCCTGAAACGTCTTTATCTTCCACGGCATTTGTAAATGCTTTAAGTGAATACGTGGCAGACGAGTATGTGATATTTTTGCTTATACCGAGTAATGACGCATCCACGCAACTTTGCACACCAGTGGTTGCACTACAAACGCGGAGCGTGGCCAGAAAAACCAGGGAATAATCAAAGAATCCGAAAAAGCTAGTAAACCGGGCGCAAAGCACCGGTTTTTCAGTGCGTTTTTGTCTAACGAGGAAGGGAGACCATCTATGGGTCCGTTTTCATCATCTTGAACGCAACTGTAAGGTTTCCATGATTTTGTATGATACTCTTTCAGGAATTCGACGGCTATTCAAAAAGATTTGAGCATTTGCAGGGCCCTACTGAAGTATGGGTAGCGGTGCGGCACTTTGTGGCCGATAAATTCGGCATGTGGATACCACTCAGAACCCACGCAACTACCGCCGTCGGGGTCGACCGTCGTCTTTGAATAACTGGCGGATTGTTGGGTCTCATAGTGACAGATGACTTGGATTTGATCCGCAAAAAGCCTATCGACTACGGACGCGTGTTTGTGCTGCAGTCAGGGCACTGTCACCGCAGCCACGTCTGTTTCTGTAGATGGCAGCAAACAGCGCTTTTGCGACGCTTCCCAGGTGTAGCAAATCTCAATGGAACACGCGCGACAAACCGCTTTGCTTAGGCTTTTTCAAATCAACTGACATCTGGACTGTAGACCCAAGATCTACACCTTACCGCTCACAGATGGCATGGATGACGGACATCCACTGTCTTTGCAAAAAGCGAGGGGTTTGTCCCTACCACAAAGCTGTTTGCCATGTTCAGGGAAGAACTGGGCGGACAGAAGCAAGAGAAGACTTTTTTCATGAACAAACTGGGCGCAAAAATGCGAACGACTAGAATTGTGTTTAGTTACAACGTTATGTTGTGCTATTTTTACATTCATATAGCTACTGGAGATCATCTACGCGTTATATATGATACCTGTATTTTGCCATAGGCACCCCCTTCGAGCAGCCGTAGCATATTTCGCTGTGTGGCTAGCCCGTATGATGGACGCGGATTACATCTCACTGGTTGATTAGGCACCGTGAACCACTTTCTGCATTTCAGCCGTGTGCGCCAGCAAGGTTCGTTCAGCAGTATGCCCTGACCGACCACATGATCGTTCTCACAGGTTTTGCTGGTTAAAGCGGATGACTCAGCCTACAAAAAAATTGACCTACGGGCGTAGGTCTTCATAATCCACAAGCCTTAGCTTTTTCAAAACTCTGAGAAACCATCCAAAAATAATAAGTTCGCAGACCGCGATTATGACTAAGAATGGCAGGTCTCGAGAACCTAGAACACAGAATTCTCTTTCCGTCCAGTCAGGTAGGGTATGCATTACCAAAATTAATTACAGGGTAGGCATATTTCAAGACTACACTCACAAAGTAGACTCCGGGAAAACACATAAATGAATTATTTCAGGTACAGAACTGCCCGCGACTTTCAGCCATTGTAAGCCACTCAAGTGTCACCACCTTGTGCGATATTTATTAGATTGGGCACCATTTTTCAAAGCGCTGTTGACTGATAAGTTTGGAGATTTGGCCAGACAAGTTGATCAGACATACATTTTCCTCATCATGGAGCAATAACCTTGGAAACATCCTAGTTCTCGGAGATCAATTCCATTCCGCGAATACGCAGCAGGCATTCTGTCCCTGAACTGCCATGACTTGCTACACCCGATTCTTCCCAAATACGTCTTGAGCGAAAATCTGATGGACATTCATCATCTATTCAACATCGACTACAGGAAAAGACAGGCAAAGGAAAAACGTGTCTAACCGCTTTTAAGTGCCACCTGGCACCTGCCAAATGAACACTGTTTTCCAAGCTAACTGAACAGCTCGATTTCGGATCCACTGGAATACTGTGGTGTGACCTTGAACTGTGTGGTTATTTGAAATTTGTTTAATTTTCCGCATGGTTGTTTACCCCACATAACCGAACAATCTTGAAAATTTATACCGAATGGGTCTGAACTCGGCGTACGCGTCGACAATTCCGGCTGTGTTCAAGCTGGTCGAATCGGTTTTAAACATCATAATCATCATTCTGGTTGCCGTTACGCCAGCCTACACATCAAATCCTGCTGCTGGATGGATTCTATTCGTAGCTATTCTATCAATTATTGTACCCCTATTTTTCTACATCATTCATCTGACAAATGTGATATACAAGCTATCCGGACCACTAACGTTCATAGTAAGTCCTGCAGTACCACTTGACGATCGATTAACCTGGTGCATTACCTTGGGATAACCTATGTCCTTCTTATGGGGCGAAATATTTCCGGAGGTGTAGTGTTTCAGATAAGGCACGTTTCTACGACCAGGCAAATAATTCATTTCGAAGAGCCTGTTCACATATGACACCGGTTGTCAAAACGCCTGAAGCTTAGTCTGAACCTTTTAACGCC